GGTGGTAATGACTAGCTGCCTTCCCTCTTGTCTGACACTGCTAAATTAGGGACAGCTAGCACAGATAGCCCTCGTGTAGCTTTGCGCGAAATTCAAAACAAACAAACAATCTTATTAGGACTGGTGTTATATATCCTCTGTAATCTGTCTTTACGTATTCTAACTGAACCACTTCTCATAAAAATCAATTTTGTTTTACAGAATCAAAGTCGTGTATATTGTTACCATCGCGTTTAAACGTAAAAAGACGTTCACCAGCTTAATCAGCAGTAGTCTGTTGAAATGTTTAGTATTTCATATATATATATATATCTTCAGATCGTTACATTTAGCCCTGGAACGTCACGCGGTATAAAGTTGACCCCTCTGACGTCCATAATGAGGGCGAGATGCCATATTTGGTAGATGAAGTAAAGAGAGTATGACAAAGACCACTTCGATGTCAAATGTAATTATCACCGAAGCTCGCTCAGGCAATAGTTGGTAATATTCAACAAGATCATCATGATACAGCTGATTGATACTATCCGGCTTGCAGTGGCTGCATTTCTTCTAGTGCCCTATACTAAAAGGTTAGCATGGTAACGGACTCCAAAGAATCAACGGTGGCAAGATCTAGAGGTCGTGTTGATCACGAGGCTGGAAAATGTCTGCTTATTGTTCGATCCATAAATGCAATGTTCTAGCAATTTCATGATGGCCTATGGACTGTTTCATAAAAACTCTTTTTTTCTTTGAAATGTGTTCCAAGTCCCATCATCAGCCGATCCCATTTCTTTAGATTTGTTTCTAAGCTTCTGATAAGTCTGATTGCCACACTCTCACCATTCACCACTTTCACGGCAGTATTATCTTAATGTTGCACCAGCCTTGTTACAAAATTTGTAATAAACCTGACCCCATACACGTGTAAAGTTTTGAAATAACTTGCAAATTAGATCAGTTTATGATAAAGTTTTTTTTGTTTTGCTTTGCTTTTTCTGAAATTGCCCTTTATGTGGCTCACTGTTACAGAGTTTAGTTAGGTTTCTGAAACATTTGGAAACTAGATAACCTCAAGGAGGTATGAGGAGCAGATAACCATAATGTTGTATGAGGAATGGCTAACGAGAAACAAAGGCCCCTAGAGGAGTGGACAATCTGGAGAAGGCACGAGAGGAACAACATCTACAGGCATCACGAGGAGTAGATAATCTGGAGGAAGCGTGAAGAGTATCTAGAGTAAATAAAGCATGAAGAGTGCACAACCTGGTGGAGACATGAAGAGTACACAACCTGGAGGAGACATGAAGAGTACACAACCTGGAGGAGACATGAAGAGTACACAACCTGGAGGAGACAGGAGGAGTACACAACCTAGTGGAGACGTGAGGAGTACACAACCTAGTGGAGACAGGAGGAGTACACAACCTAGTGGAAACATGGAGAGTACACAACCTGGAGGAGACATGAAGGGTACGCAACCTGGTGGAGACATGAAGAGTACACAACCTGGTGGAAACATGAAGAGTACACAACCTAGTGGAAACATGAAGAGTACACAACCTAGTGGAGACAGGAAGAGTACACAACCTAGTGGAGACAGGAGGAGTATACAATTTGGAGAAGACATAAGAGTGTATAAACTAAAGAAAGCACGAGGAGGGGTACACAATTTGGAGGAGACAGATAAAGTTGTGTATATCCTGTTTATAATTTTAGTATGGTAAAACAACAAATAGATCAAACCTTTTCTCACCAAAAGTTTGTGAATGAACTAGTAAGCTGTGCGTTAAGAGTGTCAACTTTGATACACGGCTAACTTTTTAATGTGTGCAGCATACAAGTAAACAGTGTTGTTGTTACGAATGTATTAAACTAACCATTGAACTTTCAGTAAAATAGCTGTCGGTCGTTAGTTATCCCCCACCCCCACATCCTACTCAGAATCTGTAGCCAAATGATATCAGCCCTGAAAAGAATTAGCTTTTGTTTAATGTTTAAGTCATGGTTCCATGTAGTCCAGCTACGATACTTATTTAGAATAGGGAGTGAAAAACGCCACCTATGTCTAACTTTGATAAGAAGTAAAGAACTTCTGATGTGTTGCAAGTGGTTTGTCTTGTGGAGGCGCTTTGGGTACTACTTCTTACCAAGCTTGGGCAAAGAAGATCGTTGGAATTGGTCTCTTGGCGTCTGATAGGCTGAACCTCCGGCTGAATAAGGACAAACGTTTAGTTATGCGTTTTTTTCTCCTACTGAATGACAAGCCAGATGCTGCTTAAGTGGCTGGAAACGAGCTTCTCTAAGGCTTTTAGCCGCCGCTACATCGTGTATCTCGTAATGCCAGACGTGTAGAACGTAATCCGAGTTTATAAGCTTCTGTTTGGAGTTTATTTGTTTTCTCACTGTTCATTTTTCCAACATTTCCTTCACTATTTACAAGAAACTCATGTCACAATGACGACAATTCCCACGCGAGATGTCACAAGGCGCGCGCCACGTGCCACGGAGGCGGAGTTCCGTCAAAAGAGGTAAAAAACATACACACACACGTGCGAAGTAGAAGGGAAATAAAAGCAGCTGATGCTATTCTGTGGAGTTTCAACTGTTGGTCATTCAAGAAACTACCGGTTGTTTCCAAGTCAGAAACACTGTTCAGCTGAGTAGTAAGCCTCCTGTCTGGTGACACTCGTCACGGCTTACTTGTGTCAGGGTTTTTCTCTAATAATAAATGTGTTAGCAGCAACCATGATACCAACCACAATTTTCACAGTTTTTCCGTTTCTTCTTGTAACAGCTGACTGTTCCAGTTGGATATGTTTCAACGGAGGACGTTGTATCGGGCGAGAGCGCAACGGATACGGCTACCACTGCTTCTGCCCCGCCGGCTTCCAAGGTCCCCGCTGTCAATATGGTGAGTAAACCAAACACATTCATATACCTAGTAACTTACACGATGCTTTAGTATAACGTATGAGTGGTTGTTTTCCAAGAGATGCAATACGTAAACACCGAGTTAGGCTAATATTAATAATACAAGTTGAACCTAGAATTTCTTAGGTTAACGATAAACAGTTTTGTCTTGTAACAACCAGTAATAAATGGTACGTCTTTATAATCTATAAGTATTATTAATAAATAAAACTCTTGCTTAGCCAAACCTCGGTACAAATAGCGTATTTTTCGTATTTCCGTACTTACGTTTTATTTCATTTAGAATATTTTACTATAATATTTTAGAAATAGATTGTGAAATTTCGTTTCTATTTGCAATAATCTTATAGGAATTATTTGCTTTCTTAAAGCTTTACTTTACTCGTTATTATGATACACACAGAAAGTGGGTTTAAAAGTCCTTTCTGTCTTTTTCTGTACCGGCTCAATCATGAGACAAGTAACTATATATATTACTCTCTCTTGAGAGCACAGTGTTAATTTACGGTGTTTAACACTCAAAACTTAATTGAAACATTATTACTGTAATTTCAATACGTTATGTTACCAGGTCTTTGTTATTGTACTGTAATGTCAACAGGTTATATTACCAGAAATTTGGCACTGTAGTGTCAATATGTCATGTTGCCAGGTGTCTGTTACTGTAGTGTAGTGTCAATACGTTATGTTACCAGGTCTTTGTTACTGTAGTGTCAATACGTTATGTTGCCAGGTCTTTATTACTGTAGTGTGGTGTCAATACTTGATGTTGCCAATTCTTTGTTACTGTAGTGTAGTGTCAATATGTCATGTTGCCAGGTCTTTGTTACTGTATTGTAGTGTCAATACGTTATGTCGCCAGGTCGTTGTTACTGTAGTGTCAACAGGTTATATTACCAGAACTTTGGCACTGTATTGTAAAGTCAGTTTGTAATGTAATCTAGATGCCATGACCGCGGCGCTGTAGTGTCAATACGTTATGTTGCCAGCTTTTTGTTACTGTACTGTAGTGTCAACAGGTTATATTACCAGAACTTTGGCACTGTATTGTAAAGTCAGTGCGTAATGTAATCTAGATGCCGTGACTGCGGCGCTGTAGTGTCAATACGTTATGTTGCCAGCTCTTTGTTACTGTACTACAGTGTCAACAGGTTATATTACCAGAACTTTGGCACTGTAGTGTAAAGTCAGTACGTAATGTAATCTA